ACAATGGTAGCAAATTCCACCGAAGACTCTAGTTCCACGATTCAGACATTAGTCAATGGGATTTTCGGTTTACTGATTTTTGGGTTAAATGTTCTATCACTGGTGGCCATTCTTCTGAGCAGATCGTTTGTAATTCGACAGAAGGTTGTTTTCATGTCAATACTGGTGACCGATACGATTGTCGGAATTCAAATTATGGGCGTTCGTCTATTACCTAATCGCTACAGTCCCGACCATATCCTTTGTCAATTGCGTTTGTATGCTGGAATCACGATCACATTTGCAACCATTTTGTCCAACGTGCTTATTACAGCTGAACGACTTCTCACTATTATTTTACCCATGCGCTTAAACAAAAAAATCACCTGGAAAGTATTTGGGGTATTCGCCATCTTTTCGTGGATCTTGTGCTTTACGTTAACATTTTCGTTTTTCTCCGATGGCTTTAGAGGACCTGTTTGTCAATTTATAGTTACTGGAAATCCAAATGGCTATGTTTTCCTCGGTTGCTTCATTTGGGCTGCATTTTTAACCACCCTTGTAATGTATGTATACATTGTTAAAGTCACAAGACGTCACATCCGCCAAATTGCAGCCACAATGGTCGGAAATACTCCAGTAATTGATGAGAGAAAGGCCTTCCAGAGCAAAGCAGAGTTACGTATGACGGTGACTGTGGGTATTATTATTGGTATGTTCGGAGTGTCCTACAGTCCACTGGCATTTTATCTTATCTACGGTGGACTTTTTGTGCCTGATATGTTGGTTTTTGCATCCTCCTACCAAACTATCTTCCAAATCTCGATAACTTTCTTCACGATGAATAGTATCATCAACCCTATTATATACATTTTACGACTCAGGAAATGTCGACAGGAAATGATAGCAAGAATATTATGTCGTCCTCAACCGCGGTTCGAGGACATGGGCTTTTCTGGACAATCTTCGGTCCGTTAAAAAAGAAAAAAAAGAAAAAAAAGAAAAACAAACCTGAGTGTAGTTTTAATCCCTAGTGTTGTCCAAATTGATATTGTTAGTAAACATTGAGATAATTCACTTGGTTATTGTAGATGATTTAACTTGTTGAAAGGGGGGGGGGGGTGTAAACTAAAGATGTGGAGCTTTATCCAGAATTCCGTATATCTATACTAAAAATGTATATCAATTCCTGTCTGTAAGAGGGAGAAAGGGTGGGGGGGAGCGGTGGCGAGTGTTTAAAATGTCGAAATATGGGTATTGATACGAAATTCCAGTTCTTACTTGCAAATTTACGGAGCGTACATTTTATTGTAGTGCTGTTCAATCAACAAAATGAAACCTACCCTTGGCAGGACAGTGCTAGGACTTTTGCTAATTAAGTGAAGTAATTCAACAATTATATTGAATATGTTATGTGTAGGATAGAGCATGAGGCTGAGGTTATGCTGGGGAAAGAAAGACTGAAGAAAATAACCTGAGAAAAAGAAAAACAGAAGCCGGTAGTCTTTCTTCACCAGCATAACCGATGTCGAGGACTAGTTATCTTGTTTATAAACCCTCTATGTTTAAATGTACGCAAAATGAGAATATCCCAGAATTCCCGTAAGAAAAACCTTATATCGTGTTTTCTTATGGAAAAAAAACCTACCCTGGAAGAATAACCCATTACAGATTTAAAGAAAAACTTTCAGAACAATAACCCCCAATTCCCCAGTATATATCTAAAGCCGCCCCCGACTTTCAGACCGTAAGTTATTCCGGGCATAGAATATACTCCAAAGATCAAAGAGATTTACCGTTATAGGTTTCTACCTGTAGTATATAACAACGTACTTGATGTTAACGTATAATTTATGTGTTGTAGCCTTAGATGTAATACTTAATATGTGTGTTGTAGCCTTAGATATAAAACTTAAGCCTTAGATATAATACTTAATATGTGTGTTGTAGCCTTAGATATCATACTTAAAGATGTATTATGTAATTCTGTAAGAATTTTGGTATTTGTTTTGACTATGATCTAGACATGAATAAACACATTTTGACCATGTGTAAAAGTATTAATCGGTTTACATAGCACATCATAGGTTACATGTAAAGAAACACGACAGGGACCGTGAAGGCATCGGGCACCCGTGAACATTCGGCAAACCTCGGCAGAATCTTGTACCCTATATCTAATCTCGGCTGTATGACGGTAACTGATGTGTAGCTACATCCATACAACCGGTTTTCTTATTAGGAAAACTTACCACTTTTAGAAAGAAGTTCTCTAAATGGCGTCGTTCTAGAGTTTGTAGAGTTTTCATTGCAAAGTTGTCCTTTGTTTAAAGAAAATCGGATAAAGTTGAAAGAAAATGGTGCCGCCATTTTTAATCCTGGAACTTGAAAGTAGTTCCAATGGCGGAATTCGTCATTCAGCCGAGGTTAGATGTAAGGTACTGGAGTCTGTCGATATTAGAGAGGGAGTTTAGCACCAACTCGAAACAAACTAGGTCATATCGGGACTAACATATGGTCCAATTTTATTTCAATAATTCGCTTGCGCGTAGGGGTCTTTAGCAGTGGGAGGAAACCGGAGGACCCGGAGAAAACCCACGAGGTTAGACTGGCGACCCAACTCCTTGTCACGTACAACCGGGCAATCGAAACCCCACCAGTTGACTCAATGACAGACAGTATGATACAGCACCCACGTGCTAACCATTCGGCCATCCAACCCCCCTCTACCAAATAAACATTACATCCTCGAGAAAAATATTAAATGCTTCACGCATGTGCCCTCGGACGACTTGCCCCCATCCACCCATCTCGCATGTCGTTGGAGTGGACTAAATACAACTCTTGACAGTTGGAATTCGACCTAAGAGTAGGCTGTAGCGCCACTGTCTAGGTGAAACCCCCCCTTTATAGCACATTGCATGGTGTACGTCCGTCTTCATTAACCCAGTCGGTGCAAAAAAGTCAGTTGGTGCAGGACGGAGGACCAGACAAGGAACAACTTATATTCGTTCAGATGAGACGAGAAACAAAACCCCCTGGGTCCCATGTAGACATTGGCGTGCAAATAAAACACCCTGCGGCAGTCGATGTAAGAGTAGGCCGTGGTGCCGATATCCGGATAAAATATCCTTCATAGCACACTGTCCGTCTTCATTAGCCCAAACGATGCAGAAGAATAGGACGTTGATACCTATTTTATTTCTAATGATATATAGATTTCCAGATTACAAGACGTGTGATAAAAACATGTTTATTAAATTAAAACACCATGCCGATTGAGAAAATATAGCCAATTTGTTTTTCTGTTATATAAAATACTAATATATAATGTTTTTGTCAGGTATAATAATTATCAACACTGTCAACACCTAATGAGGTGAAGTATGCAACATCGATATAATGAACACGGTATAAAGCGGAGCTTTCTGTGGAATACGAATTTACAAACATCAGAAACTGTATTACAAACACGTATCGACTTGAGACATTTATTTTATTCTCCGGCTTATTTAACATGCTTTGTGGAATTTTATTGCACGAGCAAACGATTTATTGAAATGCTCCCTATGTTAGTCTTAAATGACCCAGTTTGTGTATAGTGGGTGCTAAATCTCTCTTTAGGCGTCAATATCAATTGTTTATGATGTTTATCCATTGCCGATAAGATTAAAAATTATTTCATATTTCTAATCCCGCCACTTTTTAGTAATTTGGAAAGATGTTAATGGGCATGTATTGACTAGCGATATTTCAGAATTATTCATAGGAAGTAAGGCTATTGGTTCTTTTAGTTGGGCTTCATCTAAATTAACAGTGCACACTTTAGTTTCATCGATAATATAAATCCAACAAACGCGTACAAAAATAAAAAAAACAAATATTGATTTTCAAAGTCTCTTTATTGAGTTGTTGCATATAACTGGCTACAATATTAAAATCACAAAATAGAAATGAACACAATGCAGATCCCTGCTACATCCCTTTTCAAAAATATAATTAATAAACTGCTAAAACCCATAGTCGTATTTATTCCCTTAAACACATAGATGTTGTTATATTATTCATTTATATGATTATCTGCCCCGAGAGCTAAATTATTTATTCCAATAATTATTTTTATATAGTCCGAATGACATATCGACTAAATCATAAGTTCGAATAACAGTCTTATTACAAAACGTATCAGGTAATATTTAACAAGGACAACATTATTGTCATTTTGGATTTAGAAAATGCTCTTAAATGATTTTCCACTGCTATCTGTTTATCTACATATAAAAATACTACAAATCATATTCGTTCCATTAATATTTTATCATCTTGCTGCAAGTTTTTGGTAAAACTTTAAGCCGAATCACTTTGGGATAAAATAACTGAAATTTTAACCTATTTTAATTTACTTAAATTTGAAGAATCCATGTGAATAAAACATTAAACAGCATCACTAGATTATTGTTGATATACAATTAATTCTGCTTTCTGTAAATTCAATTATGATACAAGTTTTAATTTCCACACCCATTCAAAATAATAAATAATCATGAATATAATATCATCCAAAATAGATGTTAATATTAACAAGAGTAAGATTGGGCACTACAACCAGTTGGAAGGTAAAGTCGAAGAGGACGAATCTTCTCGGATGAGTCGATGTTTTCACAGAAAGCGTAGACGTTGACCCAACCATAGGTTTCCATGCAGTGAGTGTTGGTACCCTGGGCTGATTGGCAGTTGGGACAATCTCGGGAACTGAATAAAACAAAGTTAAAAATAGAATTTGTATTTGGTTTGAAAAACTAGTTATTTAAAACTACATTTAAAGGTAAGTAAAATATTCAATTTGTAAAACAATGTAAAAATTGAATGTTATACTGACTGATAAACATAATAACTGTATTTCGGAAATTTATATTATTGTTAAACATATATTATGTAAGAGCGAAATCTACCTGTTGCAGATCTTTTTGGGGGACTTCATATGCTATAAACTATTTTTAGACGTTTATGCAAGCCTACATTCAATTCTCTGGAACATCGATTAAAACACAATCGCCATTAAATAATTTAATGTAAAACAATTTTATCTTACCTGCATTTGTTGAACATGACTTTCTGTGTTTCTGGAGCAACGACATAACAACTTCCTCCGAATTTGGTGAATTGTCTGAGCATGCTTTGCTCAGCTGGACACTGGTTGTCGGAACCTCCTAATCCGAAACCACCAAAGCTAGCACTAGACAGGGATAAAATCATAAATATTTTTAAATAATCCAATTACTAAGGAAAACGACATAACAACAATAATTAAGACCTCTTGCTTGGTTTATATTAAGGAAATCCCCATTGTATGTTGGGACTGTTTATATACAGTCTTATGCATATTGTACGCTGATTAGATTGTTTTACTTTGTTTAGTGCCAACTTTCTCCGTTTATGCTTTAAAATCACTCCAAAGTAAATTAGATTGTATACGAAACGTCAGAGATTCCAAAAAAAAAAAAAGCTATTCGCTATGTAACTTACCTTGGTTGGCCAAAAGAAGCGAAAGAGGCCATTCTCTTGAATCGTGAACCCATCTCGAATCCGTTACCAGAATATTGAGAGGTTTGAGGAGCGTTGAAGAGTCGAGCCATGGATGGTCTGTTGTTAATTTCTTCGTTTATCTGTTGGCTTTAATTTAAAATGACATTTTAAATAAATATAATTGTTATTGTTAGTAGTTTGAAAATTAAATGGAAAGACGCATCGCGTATATTCAGAAGAAACGCCTCTGGTATTACTTAAAATAAAGATTATAAAGAAGATGGTAGTCTCAGAAAATGGCATGCTTGTATTAGTTTAAACTGTCTAGTAGCTTGCCGTCGGTGAAATGAAATGAACTTTCTCGGCCAACAACGGGAGCGAAGCGCTTGCCGTCAGTAGTGTTTAATATGTGATGTGATAATTGCTTACCTTGGATAGCCAGCATTGCTGCTAGAGAGATGATAACCAGCGGATAGATCTACATCTTTGTAACACTGCTTGTTGAGGGGAGCGAATCGGGCACCAGCAAAGTTTCCATGAGGATTGGCACCAAATCCAATGGAGCTACTTCCGAATCCAAGACCGTGTTGGCCCGAGAAACCACTAAATTGTCCATGTCGAACTGGGGTACTGCCAAATCCATTATTACCAAAAGAATTGAAGCTACCAAAATTGTTGAATCCACCATTGCCATGAGTTCCACCAACATGTTGATTTCTGGCTCCATTAATACCGTTTCCAAATTGTTGTTGGATTCCTTGTTTACCCTGGGAGGAGGCAAGGTTGTTGTTGTTGTAGTTCTTCTGAGCAACGTCGTTTTTGAAGCCGGCGTTACTGCTGGCTGTCTTGGCAACTTGGCTGTTGCTCTTTTTGGTGTGGCCATTTTTAGTTTGCGCTCGGTTTCGCTTAGAAGTATTACCCTTAATTGACTTGGCAGCTACATTTTCATCCTTTCGTCGGTCAGCAGAGAACGCCTTTTCGCTTGATGCTTTGTTGAATTTCTTTCCACTTTGAGCAGCAGCTTGTTGTTGGTTACCGAAATCGCTTTCGATTCTTTTTCTGTTGAAGTTAAGACGTTCAAAGTTGTTTCCCCCTTCAAGTTTATCATGGAAGAATCTTTTAAGTTTGCGTTGATTCTGGTTTCTGTCACTGAGAACTCGTTTTGAGTTTTCTTTGTCTATTTTGGCTTCGTCTAAATCCTTTTGTGCTTGACTAGCAGTCTTCTTTGCAGCAGCATCAGCAAATTGTCGGTTTTTAGAACTGGCGGTTTTGGCAGCAACGGCATTGTTATTGTTGAATCCACCATTTTCGGCACTATGAACAGCATTCTTAAGGTTACCTCGTCGGCTATCTCTAAGACTCTTGACTTCATCTCTATCAATAAGATCCTTAGCTCGCTGGTAATCGTTTAGGGCAGCAGCGTGCTTACCGGCCTTACGGGCGTCGTGGTTGTTGGCGTTTTGAAGATGCTTCTTGGCTTCACCATAAAGCGCTGAATTCTTAGCAGCGTTTCCACCAGCTTGCCCAGTAGTGGCACCACTCCGACTTGGAGCACCATGTAAGTTCACACTAGTGTGTCCAGCTCGGTGGGGTGCAGCAGCGATTCCGTTCTTTCCATGTTTAGCATCTTTATAGAATCTTTCAGCAGCTTCACCCTTTTTACCATTAGCGGCTGAGGCTTCATTCCTGTTAAACTGATGATCCTTTACAGCAAAATCATCGAATTTTCGAACAGATTCATCTTTGCCTTTCTGACTAGCTTTAAATCGTTTATCTTTCTTGTCGAATTTAACATCTTGAAGATCTGCTTGCTGTTGGGCTCTATCCAAACGGTTATCTTTGTTAGAGTATTTGCTATTTTGGAGAGCCTTTTGGGCAGCGTTTTTGTTGAAGTCGCTTTCTCGGAGAGCTTTCTTGGCATCGGCTTTGTTAAAGTTGGAGGCATGATTTCCTCGTCGGAAGTTAAGGGCTCGTTGTCTATCTCTGAATTCATCGAGTTTGTGGCTGTTTGAACCCAATTCTTCTTCAAAACCACCCTTCTCCCCTACATGCTTGTTGAATTTCTTGTCAAATCCATATGATATATTATCATTAAGGACCTTACCTCGATTGAAGGAATTCTTCTTGGCACTGGCTTGCTTGAATCCGGCTTTGTTATCGACATTGTTTTGATCTAATCGTCCATCTTTGTAAACAGAGTAACCAGCTTTGACGGCTTCTTGAGCGGCGTTGTTAGCGAGGGTGTCATAGAGAGCGCTGGAAGCGTCATTATCTAGATGGGCAAACCCAGAGTTGACTTTTGCAGCTCCCTGGTTTTTGCCATAACTGGCCTTGCCAAGACTGTTCACGTGTCCTGAGTTGCTTTGTGCGGCGCTTTTTCCACTATGTCGAGCTTGATTTACTGATTTAGAAGAAGCACCATTGAATCCAATACCACTTCGTTTACCCTGGTGTGACCGATTACCGGATACGGCATTATCAATAGCAATGGCAGCACCTATACACAGGACAGCAACGACAGCAATACAAGTAATCTACAACATATAAATATAACACAAAGTTATACTAACTGAAAGTCAACCTAGACATTAGTAAGAAGAATACATTTAACAAAATCAATACTAGAAACAGAAGAATGCACCCCAACTACCCACTCGTGTGGCTAGAATCTGTGGCACCCTGGGCGGTCTTGGTTGGGTTTGATGCCCCTCTCCCACCACACACACACACATTTGACAAAAAAACATTTACACAAGCATCAATCAGACTTAAATCGTGGTGTTATGAATAAACCAGTGTTTGCAAAATACATTCGTTTCAAGCATCTTGCATCCGGATAGGCTCTCGACAAAAACTAATATGCATTAATGTACGACTGTGCCGCCTATTGCTTACCCCGCCCTGGCCACGCTACTATCGACGACCCCCTCGATGCAAAAGGGCTTAGTTTGGCGTCTGGATATAGCTGACGAAACATGGAGTCATTTATATACAAGACCACATAAGCCCAGTACATACAAGTGTAAGATGGTCTGCACAATACTAGTAGAATAACTTACCTTCATCTTAAAAGCCGATTCAAGTCCAAATACCAAGAGGGAACTAGACCGAATGTACTGTTTCCAATGTTCATCTTGCCTTTTATAATACCAAATACAAATCACATAAACTTTACAGTCATCATCTTGCTAAGTCTACATTTGTCATTTTAATATGTTTTTCCATAAAGAAATGGCAGGAAATCTATCGGACAATAAGCATTGGGTGTCAGATAGTTGATTTGATTGAAGTATACGTGTTTTTGATGGATGTCAGAAGGGATAAATGTAGACGGGTCATGTTGTTACTAAGACAGCTCATGTTAACAACCAGTTAAACCCCTGGACGTATGGTCATAATTGTCAATTTTTAAACAGTATGTAATCCTCTTACCTGATGAACAGTACCGCTAAGATAAATTATCGGATATTTCAGATTCATTCAATTTTGCACTATTCTTGTCTACATTTAATTTTTGTTTTAATATAATAATTTAATAACAATGTTATATTTCATACATAGTTTGGGTCAGCTAGAACATCATTCATGGATTTGGATAACGGGTATGTTTTTACTTTTAGAATCCGATTCTTTCGTTTGCTTTTAGATGAATTTTCAGATTTATATTATAAGCGGAAATGTTTATAAGCATCTAAACAGTGCATTCGTCAGTGTGATATTTTAGTAATCTTACAAATATCTCAACTTCCGCTGTTAAATAAAAAAATTAAGACTAACATTTCCCTAAGAAAATGAAAAATTCATTTTACACTGTGAAACTTAAGAATAAAATTTACTTTGTGAAAATTAGAGGTACAATTTACTCTGTGAAAAATAAGGATACAATTTACTCTGTAAGGATACAATTTACTCTGTGAAAAATAAGGTTAAAATTTATTTTTTCTGTAAAGATAGGATAGAATTTACTGTTTGAAAACTCTTTGAAAATTAAGAAGAAAAATTATTCTGAAAATTAAGAAGAAAAATTATTCTAAAAATTAAGAAGAAAAATTATTCTGAAAATTAAGAAGAAAAATTATTCTGAAAATTAAGAAGAAAAATTATTCTGAAAATTAAGATATAAAAGTCGATGTTATCTTCGCCCTGCCTTTTATTCAAACACTGTCCCAAGCGTTCCTTGCCTTATAACTTGGGAATTGCCTACATTTTAATTCAGGCCGATCGAAATAATAAATTAATAAAAGATAATCATAGGAAATATTGTTCTGCCGCTACCGCACTAATGAAGATGGACATACGCCATGCAGTTTATTATAGGGAAAATTTTGGACTACTTTTATTTCGAATTCCATCTATCAAGGATTCTTTAAAGTGCATGCCAATGAGTACTTGGGACCTCGGTGCTTCGTTCCATCCGAACGACTCTAAGCTCGTTCAGAATGCCCTACATTGATCAATGTAATGTTTGGGTGTTAGATAATTAGGTCTAAGATTATTTAGAAAATGTTATTGGGTAATATTTCTTGTCTTAAGTGACAACGCCTCTTTAAATGGGCACCCACAATAATGGATGAATACATAAATATTTCACCGATAAATTTGCATTATTTGCTGTAAGGAAGATATTAAATATAAATTGTGTATTTTTTCGGACAATGTCTTACTTTACAAGGCTTAATTAGTTATACCGCTAACTCAATATTTTCCATAAAGATTAATTTGAAATTAAAAACGGTGATTAGAATTCAATATCGGCCTATTTCAATAAACATTGATGTTGTTATCTTGCGGTGACAATTTAAGACACATTGGACATTTTAAAATCAGTACACGAGTCGTGCACTCTATGGTTTCGTGCGCCATTCGTAATAAGCAAAGAAAAACAAATCCTACAAAACAATGCGGAAGTAATTAGTAATGGCTACTTCACAAATGTCAAAATAATACTAAAAATGTGAAGAATGGCCTAAGTAGGCGTAAATAACTATCGTTCAATTTGGACTGTTCACGTATTCCATCGAACATAATTGACCAGACATCACAATAATTATTGTTTTGATACTTGAATATTAATCACTTCATATACATTCATTTTACATTAATATGCGCTTTTAGACCCATTAAGGTTCGAAAGAATATAGTCATGGGCCCTTTAATGAAATGAAACGGGGTTTACATTTCAGCACGAACCGGGTTGAGGAAGACGCCGATACGCCATGCAATGTGCTAGAAGGGTATTTACAACTGTCATAAGTTATTTTTACGTATACCTTCAAATGTTGACGGGATCATTATTATATTCAAAAAACCAAATCTAAATAACAATGGTATGTAATCTCTTGGGTGGACCGGAATTGGATTAAGAAGATTCCTATTCAAAGATTTTAACAGATACTTACAGGGGGTGTTATAGGACAGAGCGGAACTGGACCTATTTTGGTGTTATGTTTGGCGTCGCCTTATACAAAGAAGCGTGTAGACAGATATCGATATATTTGATAATTTGTACAGCCAATGACTCGCTTCAGATACTCAAAATCATCAACACATCTTCATAGTGTTGCAGGACGGAGGCTCTGAACATACCCTATTTGTGTTCTGTACAGGGCAAAGTCTACAACCATACTGATGTCCATATTAAAATTGTATATAGGGACGTCCTTATCGTTATACGAATGTTATCGGTTCAGAAAAAAACAAGAAAAACTCAATAATTTGAATTCTAAACTCATCTATTTTACATATTTACCAAGCCTGAATTTCACACATGCTTGTGGGGCTGACAACAAATCGTGGATAAGATTAAACCCTCTGTCCAGGAAACATTCTGTTCAAATGCATGGCAAAGAAAGCTTGGATGGAATGAATACCTTTGCCCAGAAGAGCACTCTGTTCAATGAATAATAGAGACGTTTCGCAAGCGTAAATTCCTGGTCTGTATCGCGTATCCGTATCGATTTTGCGCGTGACGTCATAAATGTGTGTGTATTTTTCATACGTGATACGGCACACGGATACGTCATCACGTATTGAACAGCTTTCATACGGTAAAGGCCCGTATAACATCGTTGTCTTTTTACCGTCTTTTTGCTACTTTTAGACTCTGAAATGTTTTGCCATAACGTTTTTATGAATCTATGTGTATACTAGAACACGAAGGTGTATAGTTGATGTGATTTTAACCATGGTAGAGACTGGAATTTAATCATTATTTTTGATGAGTTTTTCTCGAAATTTTCATATTTTTCTATCTGTCTGTATGCTACTTAAACTACGTGTTAAATTTAGGGAGGTGGGGATCTGTAAATAGTGTGATTCTATGGTAAAAGGTATAAACTTTCCAATATGATACATTAGTGAAACCAAGAATTGCTGTCGAGTCGAAGTCGAAATTATTTTGTAATAAGATTCAACATTAAAATTTATTTATTTAATAGCTCAGCGACTGTCGAGCGACTTTACTCGCTCCAGAAATTTGTAAGCTAGGCACTTGACTAGCACTGATGGTGATCTTGGTAGATAACTGCCATCATGCTATAATAGAACTAAGCTAAGCTCAGCTACTCATACCTACGCGGCGCCAAAATCTGCCAAAACTCTAAAACTACATTGACGCCACAACGTATTATGTACCCGTATCGTGACGATACGGATGGGAAAAAATCCGTTTCCTAAAAGTAACTAATAACATATCATGTACGTATCACAACGTGAAAGCGGAAGTATTTAACTAATGCTTGCCTCTCAGAAATGTTGATATGCATCAACTGATATTTTTTTACTACGACCTGGTAGCAATATCCGGTTAAAATGATCGAAATAGCGATGTAGTCAAGTTAACGAACTCCAAATAAGTCGTGTAAACGAGTTAGCTTCTTCGAAATAAAGATATTTATGATGAGTTGTGGCAGATCCAACATATTGTTTCGAGATATATCCGCGGTCTAGTTAACGAGATTTGTCTGTTTTATCTCGAGAGCCGCGCTAACCAAGGGGTTTCGGGTTTGCTCCCCGATGATCTGGTGTGGTTTCCACTGCTGTGGTGATGCAGGATAGGTGCCCCGTGTACATATTGGTATGCACATAAAATATCCCTTGACAGTTGGAATTCGAAATAAGAGTAGGCTGAAGCGCCGCTGGCCGGGCAGAATTTCACTCATAGCACACTGCAAGGCGTTATAGCCCAGTAGAAGCAGAACAGTAGGACGTTGGACCCCATTTCATGTCAATGCTGTTTTGTCTGATTCTCGAGGTTGGGGTTTTATTTGTTCCACAACCTCGTATAATTTCAAAGATTTGAAAAACGGAGAAATGTCCAAACTGTGGGAATCTGAAAGATGGATAATTTTTTTAAGAACACGTTTCAATATGAAAATAATCTTTATTTTATTAAAGTGACATTTCTAAAGAAAGTAGAGAACGTCCCACAAGGATTTAAGAAAAATATTACAAAAAATAGTTATAATGCAATTTTATTGTAAACAAAACAAATTTTTACAACAGAAATCGAACATACTTAATAAAATTAAAGTCAATATAATTTGTGAAATTTCAGTTAAATTGTATTTAGTGTATTTAGGCGTATTACACTAAAATTGCTTACACAGTTAGGCTGTAAAATTTTGACATAACATGCAGGAGATGACACAAGACTGGGTTCGTATTGAAACGTAGGAACTACTTTTGAAAAGCAGAAACGGAAAAGTGTCAAATCTTTAAATTTAATCACAAACTTTTCCATAGATTATTCACATACATTAACAGTTACTTAACGACAGTATGTGTGATGTACAATATCTCAATATTTCTTTATAATTGAGATCAGTTTCTATACTTGCAGCATAATGGAGTTGAATTTAAATACTTGCAGCACAGTTTAACTGTGAAATATAAAATCTACTTGGTAGAAAGGTTCAAAATTATAAACCATATTCAATTCATCAATTTCATTGATATTATTTTGCTTCAAGAAAATGATTTAAATAGCGATTTATAAGTTTCTGTCAAAAATCTGTTTTTAAAATTTAATTTCCAATGAAACATTATAAGATTAAATTTAATTAAA